TGAATAAAGGGACTAAGCCGAAGGAAAATGAATGAATGATTCATTTACATTTTTCAACAAAGTGACATTTCGATATTACTTAATATACTAAAATTTATAATTAACATTTTTTTTATTTAAAATTTAGGTTTATTTTAGCAAAAGCAATGAAAAATGTATATATTGTTATAAAGCAACTGAAATTAAATAAAATTTATATTTGTGTCTGTAGAACAGTGTAACCTGTCTCTTCTAACACACACACAGAGACAGAAAGAGTTGATCTATAATTCATAGATTTTCCACGAAGCCCTCCGCAGCTGCTTGTGTTGTTTTCCTGCTCTTCCTCTGAATGGCTCTGTATACAGTACTAACAGCACACATAGCTGGAATAAAAACAGTTGACAGTGAATGGACTCAATATGAATTTATTTGTTAAAGCAGTCTGTTACTCTGGCAGATATAAGCTGCTTAAACCTGACATTAAAAATTCATATCGTCTGTCAAAGGGGCCCGAAGTGGGTCAACACTGCACAGATGAGCACATCCACCATACGCTACTGTTTACATTCTCCACAACACACGCTTAACCTGCTTCACACACACTTCTCACGCTTTATAGGGTGTGTGTTCTGTTAGAAACTACCAGTCAACATATTAGGATGAGAAAGTGGTTTTAAAATATGTGTATTCTGGCTCAGTGGTTAGCACTGTCACCTCACAGCAAGAAGGTCACTGGTTTGAGTCCCAGCTGGGTCAATTGGCATGTTCTTCCCATGTTGGCATGGGTTTCCTCCGGGTGCTCCAGTTTCCCCCACAGTACAAAGACATGCGGTACAGGTGAATTGGGTAGGCTAAATTATCCGTAGTGTGTGTGTGAATGACTGTGTGTGAGGGTGTTTCCCAGAGATGGGTTGCGGCTGGAAGGACATCCACTGCGTAAAAACTTGCTTGATAAGTTGGCGGTTCATTCTGATGTGGCGACAAGAAAATGAATGAATGAATTCACCTATAGTGCATGTGTTCAGGCTGTGGGGGAAACCGGAGCACCCGGAGGAAACCCATGCCAACATGGGAAGAACATGCCAATTGACCCAGCTGGGACTCAAACCAGTGACCTTCTTGCTGTGAGGTGACAGTGCTAACCACTGAGCCAGAATACACATATTTTAAAACCACTTTCTCATCCTAATATGTTGACTGGTAGTTTCTAACAGAACACACACCCTATAAAGCGTGAGAAGTGTGTGTGAAGCAGGTTAAGCGTGTGTTGTGGAGAATGTAAACAGCAGCGTATGGTGGATGTGCTCATCTGTGCAGTGTTGACCCACTTCGGGCCCCTTTGACAGACGATATGAATTTTTAATGTCAGGTTTAAGCAGCTTATATCTGCCAGAGTAACAGACTGCTTTAACAAATATATTCATATTAGAGTCCATTCACAGTCAACTGTTTTTATTCCAGCTATGTGTGCTGTTAGTACTGTATACAGAGCCATTCAGAGGAAGAGCAGGAAAACAACACAAGCAGCTGCGGAGGGCTTCGTGGAAAATCTATGAATTATAGATCAACTCTTTCTGTCCCTGTGTGTGTGTTAGAAGAGACAGGTTACACTGTTCTACAGACACAAATATAAATTTTATTTAATTTCAGTTGCTTTATAACAATATATACATTTTTCATTGCTTTTGCTAAAATAAACCTAAATTTTAAATAAAAAAAATGTTAATTATAAATTTTAGTATATTAAGTAATATCGAAATGTCACTTTGTTGAAAAATGTAAATGAATCATTCATTCATTTTCCTTCGGCTTAGTCCCTTTATTCAACTGGTGTCACCACAGCGGAATGAACCGCCAACTATTCCATCATTTGTTTTACACATCGGATGCCCTTCCAGCTGGTAAACACACACACACTCATATTCATTCATTCATTTTCTTGTCGGCTTAGTCCCTTTATTAATCCGGGGTCGCCACAGCGGAATGAACCACCAACTTATCCAGCAAGTTTTTACACAGCGGATGCCCTTCCAGCCGCAACCCATCTCTGGGAAACATTCACACAAACATTCACACACACTCATACACTACGGACAATTTAGCCTACCCAATTCACCTGTACCGCATGTCTTTGGACTGTGGGGGAAACCGGAGGACCCGGAGGAAACCCACGCGAAGGCAGGGAGAACATTCAAACTCCACACAGAAACGCCAACTGAGCCAAACCAGCGACCCAGCGACCTTCTTGCTGTGAGGCGACAGCACTACCTACTGCGCCACTGCCTCGCCATACACACTCATATGCTACGGCCAATTTAGTTTCTTCAATTCACCTGTAAAGCATGTGTTTGGACTGTGGGGTAAACCGGAGCACCCGGAGAGAACCCACGCCAACATGGGGAGAACATGCAAACTCCACACAGAAATGCCAACTGGCCCAGCTGGGACTCGAACCAGTGACCTTCTTGCTGTGAGGCGACAGTGCTAACCCCTGAGCCACCATGTCACCTTGTAAAATAATCTTTTTTAAATATATATTATTATCAAACATATAACACAGAGGCTTAGTCTGAGATCAAACGTGATTTATTTTATTAGTAAACTAGAAATTGTGAGGATAATTGAATGAATAAATAAATACTACATATTTTTAATTATAGGTGGTGGAATTAGTTCATAATCTTTCAGTTTTCATTTAATTCATGTTGTTAAATGAAAATATATGCAATAAATATAGTTAAAACCTTAATCATGACTAATTATACAATATAATACAAAATAAACATTTGTTTTCATAATTTTAAGTTAAAAAAAAAAATAAATATATATATATATATATGAAATACAGTTGAAGTCAGAATTATTGGCCCACCTGTGTTTATTCCCAAATTCTGTTTAACATGGAGAAGGTTTTTTTCAACACTTTTCTAAACATAATAGTTTTAATAACTCATTTCTAATAACAGATTTATTTTATCTATGTCATGATGACAGTAGATAATATTTGACTAGATATTGTTTAAAACACTTCTATACAGTTTAAAGTGACATTTAAAGACTTAATTAGGTTAACTAGGCAGGTAAGGGCTATTGTATAACGATGGTTTGTTCTGTAGACTATCGAAAAAAATAAATAGCATAAAGGGGCTAATAATATTGTCCCTAAAATGGTGTTTAAAAAAATTAAAAGCTGCTTTTATTCTAGCCAAAATAAAACAAATAAGACTTTCTCCAAAAGAAAAAATATAATAGGAAATACAGTGAAAATTTCCTTGGTCTGTTAAACATGATTTGGGAAATATTATATATATTTGGGGAAAAAAATCAAAGGGGGGCTAAAATTTCTGACTTCAAATGTGAGTATTTATATATAAGGGGGGTGAGAATGGATGTTTCCCAGAGATGGGTTGTGGCTTGAAGTGTAAAACATAGACTGGCCAAGTTGGCGGTTGATTTCGCTGTGGCGACCACTGATTAATAAAGGGACTAAGTCTACATTAAAGGCCCTAATTAATTAAAAAGTAAAATGATAATTATTATGATGGACAAGGAAGTGAAACACATTTTAAAATGCACTAGGTTTACAAATAAGGGTTAAAAAAATAACATATACTATAATGTAGCCTAAAATTAGGCTTTTTGGTGGGTTTTAAACAGACATTTAGGCTACATGGAACACAAAATTGTTGTTTCTGTTTTACACTAAAACACACATTAAACAATTTACACAGAAAAAAAAACTTATTCAAGGATGATTTCTTGGATTTACTACATTTTTTTAAGGTAAGTGGCTGTAGTCTGAGGCCATGGTGCTCCACCGGAAAAAGGTGGTTTGCCATCTCCAGGTTGGAGGAAAGTCCTTACCCCGGGTGGAGGAGTTAAAGTATCTCTGTGTTTTGTTCACTAGTGAGGGAAGGATGGAGCGTGGGATTGACAGGCGGATTGGTGCAGCGGCGGCAGTAATGTGGTTGATGTACCGGTCCGTTGTGGTAAAGAAGGAGCTGAGCCAAGAGGCAAAGCTTTCGATTTAAGTTCCTACTCTCCCCTATGGTCATGAGCTTTGGGTCATGACCAAAAGGACAAGATCTTGGATACAAGCGGCTGAAATGAGTTTTTTTTTTCTAAGGGTGGCAGGGCGCACTCTTATGAGGAGCTCTGACACTCGGGAAGAGCTCAGAGTAGAGCCGCTGCTCCTCCACATCGACAGAAGTCAGCTGAAGTGGCTCGGACATCTGTTTCGGATGCCTTGATACTTACCTAGGGAGGTGTTTCAGGCATATCCCACCGGGAGGACACTTTGGAGAAGACCCAGGACACGCTGGAGGGACTATGTCTCTCGGCTGGCCTGGGAACGCCTCGGGATCCCCCCGGAGGAGCTGGAGGAAGTGTCTGGGAAGAGGAAGTCTGGGGTTCTCTTCTAAGACTGCTGCCCCCGCGACCCGGCCCCGGAAAAGCAGCAAAAATAAAAAAATTCATGAATGAATAAGTGGTTGTAATCAGTTTTTGGGGGCTGGATTTAAGCAAACAAAATAAGTTGAACATTACTAAATTTAATTCGTTTAAATTCAACACAAATAAATTGTTTGAAACAATGTGGCAGACAACTATTTTTTCAGTGATACTTCATCTCATCAGTATTGCGTTTAAAGTCAATATATTTATTTATACATCTTCTGTAAGAGAAGAGCTGCATGAAACTCACCTCATCACGCTCATTAGTGTCCCAACTCTATTATTATTATTATTATTTCATCAATTTCAGAGGGGTGCATTTTACGGCAGGGGTGCGCCTGCCGGCACAACACCGGTTTATATTTTAAACATCAACTTTTCATGCTTTTCCATTAATCACACAAAAAATCCACATCTTCCAATCTAAAAATACCACCTTCCTCTGATCCACCCAATCACCGCAGCCCAGCCAATCCTGTGGGCGGAGCCAAGATCGAATAACTTCTGAATAAGTAAAGCATGCTTTTAAATATTCATGAGTTTCCCGGGCCTACCTCCTCGGTGGGAGCGGCGCGTCTCTCCTACTCCATTTTTGTGAGACGGGTGTAGGAGAGCACTCTCGGCGGGGAGACTGTCAGTCCACGCAGCGGATACTGCACACCGAGCGACAAAGGCGAGCACCGGAGCCCGTTTTCTTTTCATTTCTGCTATAGGAAGAGTCTAGAAGTTTCAGCCCTCAGGGTTTTGACATGGTAGATTATCACGCCGTTAATAATCAAGGCCAGTATTCAGCGGGCGGGCCACCGACCTACATGGAGCAAGAGAACGACTGGGACCGGGACCTGCTGCTGGACCCGGCCTGGGAGAAGCAGCAGAGGAAGGTAAGAGGCCTCATTTGGAGACTATTCCCGCTTTAGTGACGACTGCGGCAGTCTTTAATGTCTGGGATTCTTTTAGAACGCCGGCACGCTTCGAATGGTACAATGTTTCGCGGGTTTCGAACGTTACGGTGTTACAATGTTTCAGTCGTGCGCGCGCGTGAGAGTGAGTGATACATTGTAACGGCTGAACCTGTTTTACTAGAGCGAGTTTCATTCGCCTTCTGCTGTTTTTCTCCCTTCTCTCTCTGTTCTTTCTCAAAGACTCCTGGTTACAGCCAGACATCCGGATTTAAAATGGCAGTAGCGCTAGATATCACAGCACAGGAGCTTAAAATAGCTGCTGAAATGTGTTTCTGGACTTTATCTGCTCTTCTGGAACGGAAAGATTAGCTTGTACGTGGAGGGAAATGAACAGTTTTAGTTTTAGTCATCTCTGTGGGGTTTTATCGTTGGATTGATGTGTGTGTGTGTGTGTGCGTGTGCGTGCGTGGTGTTGGATAATAGTATTGAGGAATGCACTGGGGTTGTTGGATTGACGTTTTTGGGTGTGTGTCGTTTGGGGCAAAGACAGGCTTGGCTGATTTGCATTTTTTTTGGTGTGACAGAGAGAGTTTGAGAAAGGAGGGTCAAAGTTTGATTGAGTAAGTAATTAATATTTAACTCCCTGAAACCCCTTCTGCAAACACACACACTCTCTTTCTCTCTCTAACACACACACAGTTAAATATATCACATATATGTGGACAAAGTCATTGGCCTTCAGACCCCAGAGGTGTGACAGACCCATAAACAGGACGTTCACTGGAGAAAGTCAAATGGAGGAGGAGATTGGCTGAATTCTTGAGCGCTCCTCCTGCTTTTCTACTTGTTTTGTCACAGTTATGTAGCCAGATTTCTATAACTGTGCCTATCAAATAAATCACAATCACAAAACCCTTGCGAATTCTTTGATATTACCTCTAAATCAAGCCATTCATCTTTTGTAAATCGTTATTTTAAACCTCTTTTACTCCAAGGCATGCATAATATATCTGTACTACCTGGCCTATGTTGGGAAAATGTCACATCTGCCTCCTTTACAGTATTATACTGTAAACAGCACAAAAACTCAAGGGTGTGACTCAAAGTTTATTAGCCAATCAGTAACGCCCACTGCCTTCGAGCTATCTGATTGGAGGGAGTCTTTTAGGAGGGTGGAGTTTTTTGCTTGGGGGATGGGGTTGCCTAATTGTTATGTTTGCTGTTTCATACTAACATTCTGCTCTTGCTCCACTGTAAAACGAAGGTTGCAAGAGTAAGCTTTACTACCCTAAAATTTCATGTTGTGTTTAATGTTTCTTTACTAAGAACTAGCGTTTTTTTTACCGCAGTACTGCATTATGTAGTATGCATCATAGATAACATTGGCTCTGTGCAAAAAAAAAAAAATCATACATTAATTTCTTGAGGGCCGCAGCCCTGTAGAGTGTACTTCCAGCCCTGCTTCAACACACCAACCTGGAGGTATCAAACAAGCCTAAAGCACTCAATTAGTTTGATCAGGTGTGCTTAATGAGTTTTGGAACTAAACTGCAGAGCTGCGTCCCTCCAGGAATTGAGTTTGAGTATGCCATATCTTAACTTACCCTCTGGAAGTAGTTGAAAATATTGAATGCCATGGAAAATATGCATGAATAAATCAAAAGTAGTGCTGTGCACCTAATTATACTGCAATGATTAGGAGTGCTTGTGAATTTTGGACTGCAAAAAGGCTTATAAATGTGACTCTTGAATGTCAGGATTTAATTTCCTACACTGTAAAACTCAAAGTTAAGATAACTCAAACCATTTGAGGAAACGGATTGCAGCAAATCATTTCAGTTCAAACACTAATCCTAATGAGTGCTGTGAACTTAATCAATTTGAGTAAACAAAGCAGTTTGAGCACAATAAAGCCCAATAAATGAAGAGAACTCAAACCAACTGAGTACTGTAAAACCCAATAAGTTAAGTCAACTCAAACCGTTAGAGAAAACCGATTGCTACAAACCACTTGAGTTAATTCAAGATTTAAGATTCATTAAAAATTAATCTATACGAGTACTATTCACCTTATTCTCCGTCGACGAGTGGGTGCTGCCATTTGAATCTTTTTGGCTTGAGACTTCCGGTCTCATTCACTTCCATTCATTTTTTTGACGTTAAAAACTGCTCATTACACTGCTTGATGTTGCAATTCGATATTTTCTTATTATATTATTCTGCTTGGTCTGTATAGTCATGCAAACATTTGTTTTTAGAGCGTTTTCTGCCGTTTATTATTCCTAGTCATTTCTCCCATAGGCGACTGAATCGGAAGTTCTAGGACAATCGCGAAAACAGGCGCACTTCCGCATTTTAGAATAAGGTCAATACTTACTCCATTTAAGTTGAAGTAATGAGATATTCAATTAACTCATTTCCTTCAGCACTGAGTTCAAGACTCTATTCAAATGTGTAGAATTAACTTTCAGTAAATTGAGTTAACTACACTCATTTCATTTGATAAAGTTGACTGTTGGGTTTTACAGTGTACACAAATACTTGAACACACTGAGTAGTGTTGCGGAAAAAATTGCTGTTATCAAACAGGTTTCACTTTCCCTACTATTGGTTTGTCAATAAGACCAATACAAGCACTCTTCAGCTCTGATTGCTGCATATAGTTGTGTGGGGAAAAATTGATGGACTGTAAAAAAATCCTGGTTGCCTTAAATGTTTAAGCTGAATCAAATAACCTTGAGTCTATTGAACTTATGTTTATCTGATCTAAAACAGCTTGTGTAATTTATAAAATAAGTTTGCACATGAATAGCTTAGTTTAATAAGTTACAATGACTTAACATACGCTGTCAGGACTAATTGATCATATAATTTTTTGCAGTTTACAACACAGTATTGCAGTATCTTAAATTAGCCCGTATCCAATATAGCAAGCTGATTTTAGAGGAACAATGAGGTTTTGAGTTCCGAAACTTAGAGGATGTTTCATGATATTACTGTGACCTCTTTTAGACCAAAAGAACAAGGGAGTTTTGGTTTCTCAGTTCATGATTCCTAAAATCTCTAAAGAAGCTACAAATTGCAAGTATGACATAACCAAAAGGATATTCAATACAGTCTTATATGAACAATCAGGGCGTACTCGCACTATGCTATCCAAACCTTGCTCAGGCCCGTTTGCCGGATCATTTGAGAAGTGTGAGTGCTCTGAATCGGGCTCAGGCACAGTTCACTTGGCCGGCCCTGGCCCGGTTGGAGCGCGGTTCACTTGGGCTTTGGCGTGGTATGCTTGTGTGTGAGTGCAAAACGCACCTAAGCCCGAAACTGAAAGCAAGGGGTGACTTTTAAGGGACTGTTTCATATGGATTAATTGATCATTCTTACTCTTGAATGAATGCAAGCTGTCGTAGTTTATTAAAGACACAAACGCCTCACTGCACCACAGCTGCGCCTTGAGCAAACCTCCTAATTCCTGCAGCACGAGGACTTCATGATTGTTTATGAGCGTCAAAAGTGGCTGATCTGTTCGGAGAATTATTTGACTGCGTGTTACTGCATATCAAACGACTAAAACAATATACCTAAAGAAATCTCCACTGTGCTGAGCGAGAGCGCTTCTCTTCCTGTTAAACTGAACAGCACATCATCGATGATGAAGCGTGCCCAGGCCCGAATGTAATGTGAGTTCGGGCCATCGGGGGAGACTGGAAGGGGGACAAGCGTGCTTTGGCCTGGTTCAAGGCAACTGTACATATTGTGAGTACGGCCTCAGAATGGTCGCTATGACCATTCTATTAGTTGACGAATTCTGGTAGTTCTAGTGTGAAGATGTGGGTCAGTTTATCTGCTTGACTGTCCCATTTTGCATTGTAACATTAAATTTAGTGAAACTGAGAAAGGTTTCTGTTTAGTTAGAAGAGTTGTTGCCAAATTGACTTTTGCTTTTGAGGATATAGTTTAAAGGGGCATGAAACCCCCTCGTTTCAGCAGGGTGTTTTCACACCTCTACTTTGGAAAAAGTCAGAAAAGTGGGCGTGTCCAGCTCTGTTTAGGGGGGAGTGTCGGAGGAAGAAAAGTGGGATGGTGTGGGAGTGTCTATTTGGGCGCGCTGAATTTCAGAGTCAAAACACACAACCACAGCGGACAATGTGACTGTGTTTACATGGACATCTGTTTGTCGAATTATTTGCCAAATTATTAAATGGTGGACTTTAACTGCAGTTTGGCTCTTTCATTCAGGGAATTCATTCATGTCCCTCCCGACAAACAAGATATTTGATTCGAGGATCTGCTTTAAGCGTGTATTTTTCATGCAATGTTTGATACCGCACGGCGAATGAGAGAAAAAAAACTCAGCATTTCCCGGAAACTTAGATGCACACGGCAGGTAGTGTCAGAAAGCCGCGTGTGTTATTCCGGTCACAAAATCCTACACAAGGTTATAGTTTGGTTGTAACTGTTAGTGCTAACTTGTTTACACTCAATAGTTTGTTGGATACGAATAAAATACGAACTGAATAAACAAAGAGCACTGGTCGCTCACTTACCAAATCTGTAGAGACAGGACAATCACCAGCAAGAGCTGCGTCTTTATTTAGAGGAGACTACAAGCGAATCCGGATCTCAGCGTTTGCAGATGAGAACAGCTCTCAGGTAAACAATAATCCTCCTTAGACACGTAAGTTATTGTTGTCGAGCGTCGCGTACACTTAATCCACGCGTGAGTCTGAGCTCTCACAGAGAGAAAATGAAAACGAAACTTAACGGCAGCAAACTATAAAAGCAACACTTCACGCTTGTTTTGCCAACACAACGTGGCGTCTCTGCCGTATAAACACGGTGACAGTAATGAATATTAATGAAGTTGCACAATATAGCGCGCTGATTGGTTTGAACCAAGCCTTACTCGTGCATTAATGCATCACACTGTCAGACGTAATAAGACACACTCTGGCACAGATGCCCAGTCTGCACGCTGG